ATAGTTCGAATTAGGGCTTTAATTCGAACTACCAGGTCCCTGCCGCATGTAGCCGCGGGCAGTTAGTCCGGACTAGAGGCATTTAAAAATGGCGACCGGATGGGAAGATGCAAATAAAGCCCGGGATATTTAAATTATTTTCAAGTTCGAACTACGGGGCTAGTGTAGACATACCCTTTGTGACCAGTAATTGTGACATTGATATGTTTATCATAAAGAAATGCATGAATTTAATATAGATTTTTGGAATGGTGGCTCTCCAGACAATCCACAGCTAGGTGTAAAATGTTTCCTCATTAAAATTACCCAGAAGAGTCATGTCCAGCCAGTGAGAAGACTTCTAGGACTTGAATTGCACCTACAGAATCAACCAGCCCCAGGTTGGGAGGAATTGCGGTTGAGTTCCCAGAAAGAACACAAAGCAACCAGTAGCTTCCACCTTATGGAACAAGACACCTTCTAAACTATAAACATGAGTAAGGCTTTAGGTGTCCTCGAAGCACATAAAGACTCCCTCTGAGAAGGCTTAGGGAGCATAGAGGCAACATGCTTTACAGCTCCTGGCCTATTGCGTAGGGAGTCCAGTGTCAGCAAGTCGGGTGGGGGATTGTGGTGGTGATGGAAAGCAGATGAAACCTCCCTAATGCTGGGCAGGGTTTCCCCAGGCGCAAAGCATAGGTACCAGGGTGGCCTGGTTTCCCGGAGCCATCTCTTGCAGCAGAGCTCCCCGTCCTGAGCCCAACTGGAGCAAGTAGAGGCCAGGAGGCCCAGGTAGAGTCCTCGTTCCTCCGTTGTGCCTGTGTGAAATCCCTTGAAAACAAAAACACCTGCAGATTTGAGGCCCATATTCTTAGGTCTGTGAATTTTAGAAAGGCTACATCCGGGCTCATAAGAAAACAGCAACCTTAACCATTCCACAAAGGAGCATCCATGTTTATCTGTGGGCTCATCCTAGCTTCTGTCTCCCAATTCCCATTCAACGCAGGAGGTCTACCGTACGGTAATGACTGGGGGTAGGGGGAGGTTTGGTGATCAGGAGAGTGTGAAGGGGAGAAAGGAGGAAAAAACGGGCAAAAGACAAGCTGAGAGAGGAACTGTCAATAGCACATTTACCTTTGTTCTACATGATTCCCAGGCAGCCTTTTCCCCTGCCCTCTTTGGCTCTTGTCGGTTGTTAGCTCTTTCATTCCAGCTGAGTATTGAATTTCAAATGTGCATCTTTCAGCTTGAAGGGACCTTCTGTTAACTGGCAGTAGCCAATCATGGTTATACATTCCTTAGCCTCCCTCTTATTACTTCAGCCTCTGGCATTAGAGCTTATGCAGCCCTGATATAGTTATGAGAAGAAATACAGGCCGCATTCCCAAGATACACTTCAATACCTCACGGCCTCAGTCCTCCATTGTGCTCTCGTGTGAAATCCCTCAGATAGCTCCATTGTGGATTTCTTCTTTGGCCAAGAATCGGCCTAAAATTCTCTCTGTCAACAACATAAATATATTTAAATGTGGTGGAGGGTTTTTTCCCCCCCTGCATTTCATTCATTTTGTTTCTGTTGCTTTCTCCTTATCATTAAAGATTTCCATTTGTCCAAACCTCTCCTCGTCTCAGTTGGCCCTTTTTATAATGGGGATTCTTTCCCGAGTTCATTTTACTTTACAGTTGACGTTTCCTTTTTATAGCACAGCCTGCTGGCTGAAAAAAGCCACAGAGTGAACAGGGTGATGGGGAATAGTGGTTAGATCATAACAGCAGGGTGAGGGAATTGGAGGGGCCTAGTTCAGCCCCCAAACAATCATCAGGCTGAGAGATTACTGGGGCATAGGGTTTATGATAGAAAAAGACCACCAGAAGATAAATGTGACTGTGTGTGATCATTTGACTTGCAACAGAGAGTGAAGCCAAATGAGGACAAGTAATTGACTTTATTCAAACATAATTCCATCAGAATTCTGGACTGATTCCCACTGGTCTCTCGTTCACTTCTCTAAAACCACCTTAAAAACAAACAACCATCAAAAACCCACAAGGAAACCCTGGGAGGTATAAATTCAGGCAAGCGGCATAAGGAAAATGAATCTATTACTGCTAACGCTGAATAAAAATGCCACAAACTGCTGTGGTGCTGAAGTCGCACAATTCAGATAAATTGGGAATGCAATTAACGATCCCTTAGGTACCGTAGAACCTCCAAGTTACAAACACCTCGGGAATGGGGTTTGTTCGGAACTCTGAAATGTTCGGAACTGGTTGCTATGGTTGATTGTTCAAAAGTTTACAAGTGAATATTGACTTCATGCAGCGCTGAAACTTTACTTTGCAGAAGAAACATGCTGCTTTCCCTTTATTTTTTAGTACTTTACATTGATCACAGGATTGTACTGTATTTGCTTTTTTGTCTCTGCTACAGCCTGATCGCCTACTTCTGGTTCTAAATGAGGTGTGTGGTTGATGGGTCAGTCCATCACGTTGTTTAAAACTCTGAGGTTCTCCTGTTGGTAGACACATGCAGCTGGATCCCGGTCACCTTGGTGACATCACTGTCCGCACTCATTTCCTACCGCGTTGGGGGATCACTGATTGAGACGCTGCGTGATGGCACAGCTGTGGTTTGGGGTACGGCTGCACAGCAAAGAAAACCCACGGCTGGCTTGTGCCAGCCGCCTCAGGTTTTTGGGGCTCAGCCATGGGCTGTTTCACTGCTGTGTAGACTTCTTGGTCCCCACAGCCTGGGCGCCAGCCCGAATACCAAAGTCTACGTAACAATAAAACAGTCTTGTAATCTGGGTGTGTTGCACCTCTCCATATTCCCTGCCCCTTCCGTGGAGCCTAAAGCCCTGATCTTGCTAACATGCCTGTGCTTAACTCTAAACACAAGAAAAATCCCACGGGCCAGAATTCTGCACCACTGAAATCAATGGGAATTTTGCCATTAATGTCACTGATGCAGGATCAGGCCCTCAATGCATAAGTGTTAGTATAATCAGTGCCTAGGCTTCTTTACTTCTGTGCCGTGCCTAGTCCTCTCTGGCTCTCTGCAAGCCATCATCGGCAGTGCTGTCAGAAATCAGCCTGCGTCACAACACGACGTACCACCCCAGGGCCCAGACTTTGCCAGAGCTTTCTTTTTTTTTTTTAATACGTTCAAACCAGTCTTATCCGTTTGTTTGTTTTTTCCTGTGCAGCTTGTAAAAATAATGCTATCAAGGGCCGTGACAGGCACGGTGAAGCAGGGAGACTGCTTTGAACTTGAAAACAGTTCCGTCTCGCTCCAAGACTGGAAAGGCAACTGAGGCAGTAATGCTTTCGGTAGACACGTAAAAAGGACGGGCCGTTTTGGAGGCAGTGGTGCACTCCACGGGCCCAGCTGTGAAAAGCACTTATTTTGGGGGATCCGTTCGGTTTGCTTTCAGACACACCCCGTCCACTTTACTCCCTCGGACAGGCTGGGTGCTTTTAAAAAAAAATTAAAATGGCAGCGAGGGAGAGTTTCTAAGGTGAGGGCGATTTGCTTAATCAGGTGAGACAGGGACCAAAAACACTTGGCAGGATGGAAATAGAAATGTCCCACTGTAAACCTGCCCTGAAGCAACATGACACTGTACTAACTTTAATGACTCATTTTGATCCTTCCCTGAACAATAGATGCAATTTCAATTTTGTATCCACTCTGATACCATCATGAATGACAATAAAGCCATGTCATACTATGATGTGTACAGTATTATCAGTTGTGACACCGAAAGATCACCCGCAGTACAGTCCGTGAGCCTTCCCGAGATCGTAGTCTGCTAGGAATGAGATAACAGTAGCGTCCCTGGGGCTGTTCTGTGGGTAGCTGAGTGAGACAGATCATTTCCTCATCTCTATTGGGGATGTGGGGGAGGAATAGCTCAGTGGTTTGAGCACTGGCCTGCTAAACCCAGGGTTGTGAGCTTGATCCTTGAGAGGGCTATTTAGGGATCTGGGGCAAATCTGACAGGGATGGTACTCGATCCTGCTGTAAGGGCAGGGGACTGGACTCAGTGATCTCTCTCTAGGTCCTTTCCTGCTCTATGAGGTAGGGATATCTCCATATTAAATCCCAGGTATGTCTCACTTTCCACAAAACCTGTAGAGTCAAATAATGGTGGCCTCTGCATGCATGCACTACAGGGGGCAGTGGCCAGCTATAATAGGGCTGCCAGGGCCCAGAGTATGAGGAGAGTGCTAGCAAAAATTGGGAGTGTGGGGTCCACCTTGTGTCTCCCTCTCCATTCTGCAGGGGGAGAAGTCCTGGCTATCCCTTCCCCAAGGGAGTCCAGCATCTCCCTGCTTTGACCTCTGCCCACTGGATCACAAAGAAGGCTTTGTGAAAGCGCATAATAGGCTGGATCCTGCACCATGGGGGGGAGGGTTTGGCCCTGGGGCAGGTGTGTGTGGGGCTCCATGTCTCCCCAGCTCCAGGCAAACCTCGAGGAGCATTAATGGGCCTATGATTTCCATTAGCATGAAAACAAGGAGTTTGCATTTTTTTCCAGACACTCATATGTGTGTCTTAGCCCTTCCTAAGACTAGCATTATGTTGCATTACATAAAATCCTAGAATTAGAATTCTAGGTGTCATTCCAGACAGTCTGTTTACAAACACACTTCTTCACTCTGTGCTGAAGCACGAGCAATTGAAAACGCCCTCCGGAGAGTTCAGATTTTCACATTCACACTTAAAAAAACAACCTAACTTGCATGTACCAAAGAGGAGGATAAAGGAGATATTGAACGTGCATCAGCAACTCCTAGAGAACTTATCAGAATCAACTCTCACTGCCTGATGATGACAGGGGCACTTGATAGCTTGTAAGAAGGTTTGGCTAAATACTTCATGAGCCTTCCATTAACGAGTAAGATGCCCCATAAATTGCTCTGTCAATAGAATTTTAAAACTCAAGCTCAAATGGGACATTTCAGTCTGTGTCTTTCCTTGGCACTTTCTAAACTCGATGTTATGTTTTCTCTTTCAGGCCATGTATATGTTCTACGCTTTGGCAATTGTTTGTGATGATTTCTTTGTCCCTTCATTGGAAAAGATTTGTGAAGTAAGTATCCGTAGAAGTTTCTTTCGCTTATATGTCACTTCAGTAGCAATTTCCCTTGAAAAGATGTGTCCACGGTATATAGCAGGAGTGGGCAAAGAGGCCTCCGCAGGCTGGATTCAACGTGACAAGCTGGTGGATGCAGCCCACGGCCACCCTGCCGGTCCACCGCCTCCCGGCCAATCAAGACCTGGAGACAGGGAGCACACGAAATCTCCTTCCCCCACCAGCGGCATCAGAAGGAACCGTTGGCTGTTTTAAAACCTGATTGGCCTGGGGGCAGGAGGAGCGTGTGAGGTCTCCTCCCGCTGCGGCGCCTAGAGGGAACTGCCAGCGATTCTCTCTAGGCATGGGCTGGGGGGAGAGCAAAGATTTCATGCACTCCCCGACCCCCAGACCAATCAGGGTCTGTGGGTGGGGGAGCACGAGACATCTCCTGGCCCCGCCCCTTCTGCCCGAGGCCACACCCCTTCTGGGGTGGCCCAGGCCACTTCCAAAATTTGTAAAGTGGCCCCCTTTTAAAAACTATTGCCCAGCCCTGATATGTACAATAGATTACCTTTTCTCCTCGTTTTTCTTTTTTTAATCGAATGGGTAAGACCACAGGTATCTTTACATTGGATTATATTATATAAATGATTGTTCAGCTTTGTGTGTTTCTTTCGCAGAAGCCTCCTGGTGCGTTTCTCAGTGGGCAAATAATGTTTGTAGAGTAGCCTTTTAAATCTTGTGATTGCCACTTGAACAAGAACAATTATATCTGCATAACATTCTTCTCTTTAGCAAATAGTTTGTGCCCCTCTACAACAGAATAAAACACAAACACTATATAGTTAGAAACCTACCTGAAGAGGTACCCAAGAAATAGTCTTCTGGGGTATGTCTACACTGCAGCGCTAATTCGAACTAACTTAGTTAATTCGAACTAAGCTAATTCAAATTAACGCATCCAGACTAAAAAACTAGTTCGAATTAGCGTTTTGCTAATTCGAACTAGCATGTCCACATTAAGTGGACCCTCAACTGGGGTTAAGGATGGCCGGAAGCAGTGCCGGCAGGGCATCAGAGGAGGACTTAGAGCGTGGAGCTGCTGCCTCAGGCTAGCCGAGGGCTGTGCTTAAAGGGACCCGACCCCCACCCCGGACAGACAGTTCTCAGGGGTGCCCCGCTTGCAAAGCAGTCCTGGCTTGGAGTGCCCTGAGTGCCCACACTGGGCACATCACAGCACTCGGCCATAAGACCGGCTGCACTTGCCGCAGGCTGCCATCTGGGGAGAGGGGGCAATTGGGGGGCTGCAGGAGAGCTTCCACCCCCAGAAGCCCGCAGAGCCAGCCCAGTCCTCCCCATCGGGGGCTCGTACCCCATTCCTCCCTCACCTCCTTCCCCTTACCCTTCCCTAGACCCCCTTCCTGATGTACAAAATAAAGAAAACATGTGGTCAAAAATAGAATCTCTCTTTATTGCACAAAACTCGGGGAGACTGGGAAAAGGAGGTGGGAGAGGGGAAGAGAGAGGGTGGGAGAGGGGAGGGCAACTACAATGATCAGAGGTTTGGAACAGGTCCCATATGAAGAGAGGCTAAAGAGACTGGGACTTTTCAGTTTAGAAAAGAGGAGACTGAGGGGGGATAGGATAGAGGTCTCTAAAAGCATGAGTGGGGTGGAAAGGGTGCATCAAGAAAAGTTCTTCATTAGTTCCCATAATAGAAGGACTAGAGGACACCAAAGGAAAGGAATGGGTAGCAGGCTTCAAACTAGTAACAGAAAGTTGTTCTTCACAAAGCAAAGAGTCAACCTGTGGAACTCCTTGCTGCAGGAGGCTGTGAAGGCTAGAACTAGAACAGAGTTTAAAGAGAAGTGAGATAAAGTGATGGAGGTTGGGTCCATGGAGTGGTATTAGCCAGGGGGTAGGAGTGGTGTCCCTGCCCAAAGTTTGTGGAAGGCTGGAGAGGGATGGCACGAGACAAATGGCTTGGTCACTGTCTTCGGTCCATCCCCTCCAGGGTTCCTAGGGTTGGCCGCTGTCAGCAGACAGGCTACTGGGCTAGATGGACCTTTGGTCTGACCCAGTATGGCCATTGTAAGCTCGGGGCTCAGGGTCGGGGGTCTCAGTGGACCACCTTGATTTTCATGCACACCTACTCCTGGGTGGCCTGGCTGGCAGCTCTCCTGCCCAAGACGGCCACTTTCCTGTGCCTAGTGCGGAGGTCATGGACGAGGTCCACGATGTCCGCACTAGAGCAGGCGGGTGCCTGCCTCTTGCGGTCCCGGGCAAGCTCCCGGGAGCCGCCAGCCTGGTCCCGGGAAGAGGGGGAGGGCTGGGGGGCATCGGGTGGCTGGCTCGAGCAGTGCCAGGTGCAGGGTCTGCTGGCTGGGTGCTGGCAGGCTTGTACCTGGCACGGGCACCGTAGCCAGCCCGTGCCCCTTTAAGGGGTCCGGAGCCAGGAGGGGGGCAATAGAGTTTCCCTGGTGTTGGCCAGAGTGGCCACCAGGGAAAGCTGGGGAGGGCTAGCCTCCCACTAGTTCGAATTAAGGGGCTACACACCCCGTAATTCGAACTAGTAAGTTCGAACTAGGCTTAGTCCTCGTACAATGAGGTTTACCTAGTTCGAACTAAGCGCTCTGCTAGTTCGAATTAAGTTCGAACTAGCGGAGCGCTAGTGTAGCGCCTATCAAAGTTAATTCGAACTATCGTCCGTTAGTTCGAATTAACTTTGTAGTGTAGACATACCCCTGGTTAAATTACTTATTTGGGACTCAGAAGGTCAGTTCCTGGCATTGTAATAAACTTCTTGTGTGACCTTGGGCATATGACTGAGTCTTTTTGTGCTTCACAGGTTAGTGGTTGTCTTATCTATTTAATTTACAAGCTCTTCAGGGCAGATACTTAGTATATGCTTATGTAGCATCTTGCAAATGAGTTCCCAATTTTGTCTGGGACTTTAGGAACAACGGTAACAAAGGTTATAGTAATTCTAAATTTACAATATACCATACAGTGATTAAAATGGCCAACAATTGCATTGTTTTAGCCCTCTGATAAAAAATATGTTTGAGCCTGGATTACATTAAATTTTTTCCCAGAAATTGCAAAATTACAACTCTCGTGAACGTGTGCACTCTACATTCTGAGAAAGTACCACTGGCCAGTTCGGGGTAGGGGGGATGGAATGGGAGAAATTAAGGTGTATCTTGACTTTGACAGGCAAATGTTGAACCACTAGAAACTTCCAAGTTTCGAATAATGCTTAAAAGCCACTCTGCATCGCATTGGGGCAAACAGGTCACTCACAGGAGCAGAGTGTGGCCAAAATAGGGCTATTTTGGTCCTGCACATGTGGATTCCACTGTGCTGACCTTGATTACAACAAAATTTTGGTTTGGATTCAAAATTCAACAGACTGGCAGCAGTCTCCTCATATGTGCCGTCACTAGGCAGATGGAGAGACAGTTATCTATGTTCCTCCTGCGTGGCTAAGAATTGCAAACATCCTGTTACTTTTGCTACCATTGTCCCCACCCTAAACAGCCTGTCTGCCTCGTCCACCTGCTAGCTTATCTTTTAAACTCTGCGATCTTTGGGGCAGAGCTTTTCAAGTTCACTGTTTTACAGCATTTTACATTGGGAGCCCCGTGTTCACCGGCCTGTGCCTGCAATAGGAACGTACAATAACAATAATGATGATACAAATTCTGCTGATGTGCATGTCACAGTGCAGACTTCAGTGTAAAACACTAGGCCAGATCCTCAGGAGCTGAGGGTTGATTTACATTACCAGAGGCTCCAATCCCTTATTTGGATTTCAGACCTCCCTGCAAGATTCTAATTCCATTATAAATTGTACAGCAGCAGGGAAAGCAATTGCAAAGGAAACGATCTCCTTTTGACTGAGGCCAGCAGACTGCAATTTTAGAAAATAAGTACTTCCCCAGCTTGAATAAACACAGAAAGATAATTATTTGTTGAGTGTGGTCCGCATGTTTGAAGTGTCTTCAAGTCTTTCCCGAAGCCAGTTCCATACAACGAAATCTGTGCTGCAGGTAGAAAATACAGGTTGGCTTTGCCATGTGGGGATCTTTGTCAATTGGAAAAGACACCTGCCGATCTCCCCCGAGGTAGAGCCACAATTATCCATCTTCCTAAAAACAGAGCTGCTCCTGAGCTGCGGGATGAGGTGTGGGAGGTTAGATGGAAAATCATTTCTCTCTGACTGCACTGATGGCATCTGACTGGTGAACTGTATTGGTTCATCGAAATGCCGCTCAGCCTCGGCTCCGTGAAAACTGTTTGGACGCATGGGGTTTGGAGGATCAAAGGAGTGACACGGGAACAGACCCATGTCGGCAAAATAGTTATGGTGCAGAGAAGAGGGAACGTGGTTAAACAAGTATCAGATAGATGTGAGCATAGTGCAGACCATAACATTGTGGTGTAAGTTAACAGTACGTATTAACCAAAGGGGTCTTAACTCGCTCCAAAACATGGGTGGTTGTTTTTTCAAAATCTTTGTTCTCGGCCCAAAGGTGACCTTTTGGGGGACACAGAGTCCTTTTTTTCCAACGTCAAGCTGTTCTCGCGTTATGTGACAGTGAAAGAAACACACGTTCCTTTGTTCCCAGTTGGTCCACCATATTTTTGTCTGAATCTGAAATGACTTGTCTTTAAAACTTCCCACACGCATGGACGTTGTCTTCAGTGCTAGCATTCAAATGGACATGGGACTAGCTCACTTGGGAAGGGTCTCAACTGCCTTTTCTCCTGGCCCACTCGCCGTCTGTCTTTTTCAAACTAAAGGGGAAATAGTTTGACCACATGTTCGGATCACGTGTGGTGCTGGATTCTGCCCCTGCTTCCTCACACCAAGTAATTATCTGCTCAAGAAATCCCATTGAATAATCTCTGGCTCTCAAAGCTGCTCTACTGATTTCAGGGTGAATAACGGTGACAGATGGGCAACCCTCCCTGGTGATGTGGTATATTTGGCATATTTGAAGCAGGTTCTCTCACTCACTTACACAACATCGTCCTTGCAAAGAAGTCCCACTCTTATTCGCTCGCATTAGGGAAGTTCTTGTAGCCTAAAGATTCGCAAACACTTGGAAATCAACATTCCGCAATGGCTCTTCACAGGGACACGCTTATTCCAGAATGAGAATAGCTTTTCCCAGTGTAGTGTAATCAGCATCGGAAGTGGATTATTATTAGGGTTATAGTAGCATCTGCAGGCCCCAAACTGATATCGCAGCTCTCTGTGAAGAGCTTTCTGTGGACCCCATGGGATAGATTTTTGCCTCTTTTGCCACATCTTTGTACTGCCCGGATTGTCATTAGGGATGTAAAATCCCATGTAATTGGTTAACTTGTTAAATGTGCTTTTGAACCGATTAACCGATTAAAGGGGGAGGTTGGCTGGGCTGAAGCAGCCTCCCCACCACAGGCAGGAGCTGCTCCAACTCGTCCGGAGCAGCCCCTGCCTGAAAGGCGCCCAAGCCCAAGTGAGGAGCTACTCCAGCCCCCACCAGTTAACTCAGGGGCGGCAACTGCTAAGGCACGAGCCCTTTAAATAGCAGGAGCTGAAAGGGCTCACACCTCCCCTGCGGCTCTCAGGCATCACATTAGCCAGAGATGGGAGCTGCGAGCCCTTTCAGTGCCTGCTATTGAAAGGGCTCGCTGCTCCCGGCCTTGCTGCTAGCTCGTTGCCTGGGAGCTGGAGACACGTTAAGGGTGTTGCTTACTGGGTAAACAGTTAACCTGTCACATCCCTGCTTGTCATGGTGTAGTGAGCAGGGATGGCCGCTCACTGACCCTGAAGAGGGAGAACCCCTCTCTGAGCCCGGATGGGCTGAGCTGGAGCCTCACCATTAAGTCCGCAGCAGCCTGGGGGAAGGGCAGGAAGTATAAAAGCCAGGCCCAGAAGCTCAGTAGGGGGCCGGCTGTGGGAGGGAGCGGAGGCCAACCCTGAGAAGGCTGAGGAACCGGCTGAGGTGGACGACTGGCCTAGGCCACCAGGCCCCAGCCCAGAGGAAGAGACCCTGTTCTCCCTAGCTCTAGACTGGGACCATACAGACCCTGGGGGCCCGCCCTGACCAGGGGAACATGTACAACCGGAGGGGGAGTCTGGAAGTGGCCCAGGGGAAGCAACAGATGATCAGGTGGAAATGATCACCCTTTAAGCTGGGTCAGCGGGCTTCGGTGTGGATCCCCTGCCGACCCCAGTGCTGCAAGGCTGCCACTGCTAGGGCCCTGGGCCAGGACATGGTGGAGTAGGGAGGGCCCACGTCCCCCCTACCACTCCCTGCATTTGGGTGGCAGTCTCCCCCTCTCCACTTGTGCTGCAGAAACTGTTTACTTGTCTGCCTCACCCTGAGCCAGGGCCTGGGCTGGCATTGGACTGCCGAGACGGTTTGTCTGCCTGCCCTGCCCTGAACCAGGGCCCGGGCCGCCATTTTGATTGTGCGGGAATTGTTTGTTGGTTGGCCTACGTTCTGGCCTGGTGTGAAAGGGGCCACCGGGCTAAGACGTACAGGCCCGAGCACGGGGCAGTGACTCAGGACTCAACTACAACTCTTACACATGGCCATTTGACTACATTGTCTGAGATTCTCTCCCAGGGAAACCATTGTTATAGCAATGTGTTTCTAGGAAGTAAGGACTCAAGCATATCCCTTGACTGATTATCCCGCCTCTGAAGGCATCAGCAAGGTGCAAGCTGTATGAGATGATGAGCGTATCTGTGTTTCCACTGAGTCCGGTGCAGAAGAAACTAGCCCTTTGTGAGCTCTATCTTTTCTTCCAAAATACGTTTTTAGCAATATTTTTAGTCCTGTATAGCTCATGTCCAGCAAAGCTTTTGTTCAATCAGTTTGTCACACGTTATGACAATAGTACGCTTTTGAGCTTTCCTGCCTCCCATGGAGGCCAGATGCTGCTGACCCAACTCTTCTGCCATTGCCACCCCATAACATATGTGTAACACTGCGTGATTAGCATGTCATAGGGGCAGAGTTAAGGGGATCTGGAACCCATGTGAGAAAATTAAGCTGTTAACTAAGGATTCAGTTGTTTGTTCTGCATTTTTTGCAGAGCAAATTCATTTTCTACGTTGGCGTATACATAGTTTGCTGAGGTGAATATTCATGAAGAAACCTCAGAGATTCTAGTGGTGAAAATACAATGCACTATAGGATTATTTTCAAGTCCCATAGAGGAAGTTTTTAGATCCCCTGTCAGCTTGCTTGCTCTTTGCTGTTATGAACGAGTGCGGTCTGAAAAGTGTTCCCTTCACATTCCACTGCCCTTCATTCTGCTGTCAATCCATACCCAGGGGCTGCAGCTTGTGTGTTTCAGGTCTGATTGTATAGAAACGAGGCCATTCTTCAGCGGGCTTGCTTTATAGTCTCTTTGCATAAAGCAATGGGAGGTACCACCTAAGCCAATTCGTTTTCATAGCTTGGTCCCATTTACTGAACTGTAGGTCGTACTGGTGGGACGGTGGGTCTGCAGAACACATTCAGAAAATTGTTATCTAAGAAGTTATTTGGAAAAGGGTGACACCAATGAAATCTGTATTCAGTTGTGAGTGTTTTTCCTCTCAGGATATATTGTGTTAAGTAAAAACAACCCCCTATGTCTAAGTCTATGGATACCTGGCTTGGGCTTTGGGTTTCTTACAGGTCCAGTTTGGTGAGCATATATATTTTAAGAGACTGGCAGTCCCTGATGATCTGCAAAGATTGAGTTAGCCACTTCTGTGTAAATCCCATATAGGGAAGCTAGCACGTTGGGTCCGGGGTATTCACGCCCTTACATACTCCCCATACTCATATGGGCAAGGACTTGGCTCCCTCCCCATGTACTGGCCAAAGCAGGTGATACAACATGTGCATGGAGAGGGTTGTCATTTACCACACTTTGGAAACAAGAAAGGAATCGTGACTCAAAGGGTGACCTCATACCTTCTGGTGCGGTGCAGCTAATATACATTGATTGGGATCAGAAGGGGCAGGCATCTTGTTTTATTAGATTGAAAGGACAGTATTTCTCCAGGGTAGCGAATGCTTCTCTGTCCTGTTGATGCTTCCCTTGTTTCCGTTTAAGCATATACGCAATTTCCTGCTCAGACAATTTCATCTTTCCAGTTGAATTTCTTCTCACCTGCCAGTGTTCTTGTCATGGATGTCATTTTTTATTTTTTCCTGCAGCGCTTGGATCTTAGTGAGGACGTGGCTGGGGCAACTTTTATGGCCGCTGGAAGCTCTGCTCCGGAGTTGTTTACATCTGTTATAGGTAAGTAACTCACCACCCATTTCGTCTTTACACAGTCTTTTAAAAGCATTAAGTCCAGATGGAATTGCCAAGTCATTCTCATACTTACAATAAGCCTTTACCTGTTCTCCCGTGGACGCATGGAAGATTAGTGGTGGCAAAGCCTTGTTAAGTCTAGGAGCTATCTGTATAAAATCTCCCAGTGTTGATGAAAGAACAAACACCTGAATTTCTGGTTTTATGTACAGTCTGCGTCACCAGGCATCATCCAGGCTCTCCGCACCGTGAATGGATTAACATGCCACTAAATTGTACCCCCCCCCCACACACACACACAATGGATTTTAACTGTGTTGAGGGGCTACGTTGATCCATTACAGGGCAGATGGACATTTTAGTGCAGATCAGCGGGGGTGGTTACGTTTTGGTCCTGTTTTGGATAGGTGGCGATCCACGCAAGCAGCTTTCCTGCATACCCCACCCGCATCTCCTTCTCTTCCAAGATCGTGCTGAGAAATCCCTGGCTCTGTCGGTGAGGCACATAAGGGCATGCCGCTAGGGCTGGCGGCTGCTGAAGCTGCCGAGTCAAAACCTTCCTAGGGAGGGATTAGCTGAGGGCTTTAAAAAATTGTCCTTCCTCCCACCAGACAGAGAGACGGCTGCGTGGCCATGTTGCCACTGCTGGAGGGTGCACAGAGGCGCCGTGGATGACCACCGTATAAAAGCCTGTAGAATAGAACAAAGGGGGTGCCCTCACAGCAGCACCCAGCGTCCGGGGCAAGATGGAGGGTCCTATTGCCACAATGCTCGAGCGCGAGGGGCTTCGTTCTTCTCCACAGTTGGTTCCTCATCAGCAGAACTGGCTCGTTTCAACCCTGGTTCTCCACTGGTGTTAGCACAAGCCTAGTGGTGGTTCCTGTGGCCATTGGGGACAGGGAATTTGGATCGAGACTCATGCTGTAAACTGTCTACATTGAGGGAAGTGTCTAGCCCTGTTTATACCCATCTGTGCAGCAAGAGAGCGATTAGCCACTGGAACAACTTACCGAGGATTGTGGGAGATTGTCCATCCCTGGAAATACTTTACTCCAGATTGGACATTTTCCTAAAAGATAATCTGTCCTTCCTCCACACCTATTGGTCCTGAAACTGGAATTAGTTCCGGGAAGTCCTATGGCCTGCATGATACTGGAGGTCAGATTACATGATCATAGGGGTTCCCTTCTGGTCTTAAAATCAATTAACCTAATATTGACCGACTCAGGGACCATGCTATAGTAACAACGTCAGCGTTGTAAGATGGTTACAGCATGATTGGGCAGTTCAGGTGGGACCGAGTTCTAACCTTGTCAGGTCACTACTTAGTTATACACAATACCCGTTGGGTACCGATAGCCAGCAGGTGCCATTGAGTGATTATTGATTATTTGTCAAGTATCAGAGGGGTAGCCGTGTTAGTCTGAATCTGCAAAAGCGGCGAAGAGTCCTGTGGCACCTTATAGACTAACTGAAGTGTAGGAGCATAAGCTTTCGTGGGCAAAGACCCACTTCGTCAGACATGCATCTGACGAAGTGGGTCTTTGCCCACGAAAGCTTATGCTCCTACACTTCAGTTAGTCTATAAGGTGCCACAGGACTCCTCGTTGCTTTTATTGATTATTTGCAAACTTTTATTTCTATGGTACCCATTACCATAACACTTTTGATAACACATGTTTTCTCTAATCCCATGAAAGAGCCAGATTCTGCCTCCTTATTCACCCTTTACTTTCCTCTACAACTTGTCCTATTAAACTTGGGCATGTCTACACTACAGCATTATTTTGAAATAAATCACATTGTTTCAGACTAACAAGGCGAACATCCACACAGCAAGTCCATTATTTCAAAATTATTTCAGAATTAATGGGATTCTTATTTAAAAATAGTAAACCCTAATTTCATGAGGAATAACGCTTATTTCGAAATTGCTGTTTTGAAATATCAGGAGTGTGGACGCTCCACTGCTGCTATTTGAAATAGCTTCTCCCCAGCGCCATTCAGAGTAATTACTCCCCAGTGCTTCCTTGGGCGCCAAAGCCAGGTAGCACATCCACATGAAGGGAGCCTGTCTTGTACAATTTACGAGGTTTCCCTGTAGTGTGGACGTGCTATTTCGAAATAGTTATTTTGGGAGTTATTATTCTGAAATAACTCATTTTGAAATACCCATGCAGGGTAGACATGCCCTTAGAGTCAGTGTGGGCTGAATCAAGCAAAATACCCAAGATCCAGGTACAGTAGAACCTCAGAGTTACAAATACCAGAATTACTCATGGGCCGATCAACCACACACCTCATTGAGAACTGGGAGCACGCAGTCAGGCGGCAACAAAGGTGGGGGAGGAAGAGGCAAATACAGTACAGTGCTGTGTTAAATATTAATTACCAGCAATAACAGGAAAGTTTTAAAAAGATTTGACAACATAAAGAAACAGTTTCTGTGCTTGTTGAATTAAAATTAAGATGGTTTAAAGCAGCATTTTTCTTCTGCATAGCAAAGTTTCTGAGCTGTATTGAGTCTTTGCTCAGTTGTGATACACTTTTTATTCAGAGTTCTGAGCGTGTCAGAGTTAAGAACAACCTCCTTTCCTGAGGTGTTTGTAACTCTGAGGTTCTACTATACACAACAAAGGGGTGCAGGTTTTCTTAGTAGGATCCCTTTGCGTCCGAGTTACACAGTTGGCTTTGAACTTGTTTTTCAGGTGTGTTTATAACAAAAGGAGACGTAGGAGTTGGAACCATTGTTGGCTCTGCCGTGTTCAACATTCTCTGCATCATTGGCGTGTGCGGCCTTTTCGCAGGACAGGTAAGAGCAGCTCCCAAGTTCTAGTTCCATTGGCTCTCCATATATCCCAGCAAAAAAACCAGTGCAAATCAGCAGCTCACGCAGACTGAGCTTCTCCGTTTGGGGGCGAGATATGGGTGTGCAAAACGCAAGGGAGCTTTGCTTAGTTGGGGGTCTGAAGGCTGCTTTGAGGACAACAGCAGCACTGTGGAAGGGAACTGCAGGTAAGCAACGCTGCTGCCAAAGTAGCCGATTCAGAAACAAATCAGGGAGAAAGGAAAAGCTAAATTTCCTGCAAGTTTTGAGCCTTGACTTTCGTGGAAGGAGCAACTGATCTGAAGACCATCCCCCAGCACCGTTTTACAAAGGGGGAAGGAAAATAGAGTGCAGGAGAGGTATTTTAGAGCTTGAACCTAATGGCCTAAAGAAATACGTCCCCCTTGCCCTTCTTCCCTGTGTTTGCTCTTCGTTGATATTCTCCTCCAATGCTCTCGTCATGTAGTGCAGGCTAATTGAGGCTTCTCTGTCACCAGCTGTGACATGACCAAATCAGGAGCCGGTAATGTCTTTGAGGGTGGATTGGAGATAACTTTTGTGTTTCTCACCATTTCATACAAAGATATTGATAACCACTCCCTCAGCATCAACGCCACCGCCAGTGGTTTCCAGCCTGCAGCCAACGGGCCACTTGCAGGCCAATCAGCACCCGGCTGCAGTCCATGTGACACCTTGAGGGCCATACAGGTAGTATATAGACTGTGTGGATGAGACCCACATAACAAAGAGGGTATGTCTATACTACAGGACAAAGGCAAATTAAGATACACAATTTCAGCTACTTTAGTTGTGTAGCTGAAGTCAAAGTCGCTTAACTTGGCTTGTGGCGCTGTCTACACTGCAGGAAGTTGAAGGGAAAACACTCTTCCTTCGACTTCCCTTACTCTTTGTGAAAGTAGGGTTACCGGCATCAACTGGAGCACCCCTCTCACTTTGAGTTAGCTGTCTTCACTAGAGCCACTAATACAAAATCTGGAAGATCGAGAGCAGCAGCTTCAATCTTCCTCTGTAGTGTAAGCATACCCAGAGGGAGCTTCCCACAAAGATAACTTGGGTGAGAAGTCCCGGCCTAGTCGCTAAAACACATCTGAAGTCGTAGAAGGAATGCAGCGAATGCTAGGAATATATCTTACCGGCAGCATCTTACAAGCAGCTGCATGTCAGCTGTACTGGCATCTTAAACAACAGCTGTGCTTGCCGGGAATGTTCATGAGGGAGAGGGTTGAGCTCTCTCAGCAGAGAGACCTTGCCTATGGAGCGTCATGAGCGCAGATCTCGCCTCTTACACAGATCTTGCCTCTTACAAAGAAACGTCTCTTCCTACAGCAACAAGAACACAATGGCTGGGCAGCACCTCGCTCCAGTTAAAAAATAATGTCGAAGAATAGCTTGGTCTTCTCATATGATCAGACAGTGCTGGGGCTCTTGTACATTTCAAAACAGAAGCGCCACATGGAGGAACTCTGAGCCCCAGGCTCCATGCACTGCTATTGCTTTGAAATTTACAAGAGCCCTAGTGTGGCCTCTTGTACATTTCTACGGTGGAACACTGCTGCTGTGCCCCACCCCCTCCCATGGAGCTGGAGCAGGGGGGAACTGGCTTTTAAGCTGGCTCCCACCATCACCCCTTCCTCTTTCCCCCCACACTTACTGCCTCTTTCTCATAGAGGCAGCAAGGGGGAAAGCAACTACTCAACTAGTCGATTAGTTACTTATATCCCTAATCCCAACCTGGCCCTAATCAAAAGGGGTCCAGCTGCTGCTACAGTGATCCCAAACTGGTAAATAGGAAGCACCAGGCTGACCAGCCATGGGGAGCTAGCATTTTCCACGCCACCTGGGTTGTCATGAAAGCCAAAAGAAGAGCCTTGATTCTACCATTATCAGGACTAGGGATGTTAACTAACAATTAATTGACTAGTCGAGTAGTTGATGGAATTTCCCATTGGGGCTCTTGTACATTTCAAAGGAGGAATGCGAAACTTGGCGTACAGCTGGGAAGTTCCACTGACTTGGGGCTGCATGTGGGTGCCTACTTTGAAATGCACATGAGTTCCCTAGTGGGTATGCCCAGCGGGGACTCTTGTGTATTTCAAAGTGGAAGCACCAGCATGGAGTAGCTACAATTGAGGGGGGGGAGGTATCTGATAGTGGCAGCAAAGGGTGGGGGGAATCAACTAGTCAACTACTCCTTAACATCTTTAATCAGGACGCTTCCACAGAACTCAAAACCTCACAGCCCAGCTGCTAGCCTTTCCATTTTATGGATGCTGTCCCCATTCTTCCACTTCTTCCTCTGATAAATAAAAACCCAACTGAGCACAAAGTTCAAAAGAATCTGCAAATGTCAGTGGTTTTCAAAGCTGCCTATGAGAGGAGGACACCTAATTCTTCTTCAAATTAATCATTGTTCAGATCATCCACAGGGTGGCTTTTGCAAATGACAGCCTTAATGTTTGTGTTTGCTTTAAGACCCAGGATGGATACTTAGGGTATGCCCACGCTGCAATTGAGGGGGGCAACTGCAGCTTCCGAGGCTACGTCCAAGCTAGTTTTGAGCTACCTAGGTCAAAGCTAGCTCAGTTAACAGAATCAGTGAGGCAGCAGCCAATCACGTATGTACCAGAGTCCTGGGTAGGCAGGGCTAGCTCATGCAGTCACCTGTAACAGCACAACTTTACTGCAATTGTTACTTGAGCTAGCTTTGAGCTACCTATATCAGTGCTATCTTGAGTAAATCTGCATGTGTTGCAGTGACAGGCTATGTCTACACTGGGGAGGTTTGGTGATGAAAAATGTTGTCTACATACAAAAGGGAAAACTAGTCAAACCAGTTTTTCTGCCTCCCATTGTCAGCAGTTCCTGGCCGCACTGCAAGCTGTCCTGTCGACAGATAAGAGCAGAGCAGTGTGGGTAAGGATCCCACAGTGAAGTGTTGTGGGAAGGCAGAGCTGATCCCCGTGCTTTTTCGGGTTCCCTTGTAGCTCTGTGAGCGCTCTCTGCTAAGGAATGGCAAAGTAGAACAGCCGTCTCTCCAGCCCAGTCTTCCTGCCGCTGTGTTCCTAGTGCAAGACAGAACAGAAGCATTCCAATGATTTGTTCTTTGTTTGCACTCTAAATGGAGGAGCTTACTCAGCTGTCAGATACATCCCGGAGCTTTGAAGGGGGAGGGGCACATGCCTGCAGGGCAGCAGAGATCACTAAACACTGAACACAGCCAGGCTTTGTGAGATACTGGTGGAAGCCAGTTCTCTGGACAAAACAAACAGCAGAGTCCACACTGGCCCTTTGCTGACAATAAAGGGAGAGGAAAAGACAAAAGTCTCTCACCAGGGTGCAAGTTTTTTGTTGCCAAAACTGGGTATTTTTCCCGACAGAAGTTGCATTGCAGTGTAAACGCTCTCGCTGTTTTGTCGCCAAAAGGCACTTTCTGCCAATAGAACGTGCCAGGGTAAATAAGCCCTCGGTCACAGTTGCAGCAGAGACATATCCTTATGGCTCTGCCACTTGGTAGGTGGGAATGAAATTCGCTCAGCGATGAAAGATGCTGCTGTATTTGATACACTGACACAGTGCTGTTGATGATTTACATCCTCTATCAAATAGATTACTATATCCCGTCTTTGATCTTCCTCTCATTCTTTATTCTACTCTAAATGTTTGTATCGTTGAAAGTGGTGCTGTCAACTCTTGGTATTATTTTTGAATGCTTTTCACATGTCAGACTATTGGAGACTTTCCGAGTTATCCATCCCAACTTAAAATAATTAAGTTGTGAGATTCCTGTCTGAATTAGACAGGTGATTGACTCCCTGTAATTAAATAGCTGAGTACTGCAGCTTGCAGAAATGCCAAATATTTTTATATTCTTTAAGGTGATCTTTGAAATGTCACTGTATGATCCTGTCTACAAAGGGGAAGGGAAGGACAATAGTGCAGGTAGTACGAGGCAGTGGGACAACTAAATCTGAAAGCCCAAACAGAGAAGAGGGGATTAGATGCCTGTATCAGTTCGAGAAAGTGGGCAGGGAGTTTATATTTTCACCAGAAGGTCTGAAATCTGGCATGTATTAACTATGAGCATTTTCCAGGTGGAACTGCATATTTTCACTATTAGGAAGAGTCCTTGGATAAGTTGTGAAGTGGGCATTCTCTATTGTTAGATTCCCTAAAAGAACGTGCAGCTGAAAGTTCGCGAAGTGTGCTCCGTGTTTAAGAGGCACTGTTGTAACTCATACTGTGAAAGCCCATGTGATTCAAGCCCATTATTAATTACCAAAGCTTTCCCAGGGCATTGAGCAATGTTCCCCGCAGGTGTTCTTGTGTAATCAGTAGGAATTTTTCTTCAGTCAGGTTGCCACGAACAACATTCAAACAGATGGGGATTAACTGCGCAAAACGATGACCTAGGCATACCAAAACATTTTCTTTTCGCTGTATTTCCTGGCACTGTTGTCCACCAGTCTTAAACCGCCTCAGCAAACACAGCCACTAACCAGAATTTTAGATGGGAAGACGTTTGGGAGTCCAGAAAAAAATGACAATGTTGTGAAAACTCCTTGTTTTTTGTTGTTTTTTTAAGACACAGGACTTAGAACCAAAGGGCAGGTCTATACTAGGAATCTATTTCAAAAGACGCTATCTCGAAATAATAACTCCCGAAATAACTATTTCAAAATAGGCATTATTCCTCATGACAAGCAAGAGTTATTATTTAGAAATAACCAGCGAAATAACAGGCTTGGTAGTGTGGACGCTCCCCTAGTTATTTTGAAATAAATTTGAAGTAGACCAGGGCAAAATGTCCCCATAATTGTCTCCCTCCTCCCACACCCGATACATTTCAGAAGTTCAGTAGGGATGTGGCCTACACTAAGTTATTTTGGGTGTGGTCTAATGACTGCAGAACTAGAAGCGAGGAGCTCTCCTTTCTGCTTTAAAGCTCTTTAGGGGGCTAACTCGCA